GCTTGTTAGGGGCTGGAGAAAGCCGTTAAGGCCCCGACCAGAGTCATCACACAAAAGGGTTCCTTAGTGCATTGTGAATGTGTGTGCATGCGATCACCCCATTACGGAAAGATGGAGCAAGATGCACCGTGCCAGGGAATGAAGGCAAAGCCACCTGTGCTGAGGAGAGGAAGTGGTTTCTGAGTTTCCCCAAGAACCCAGTCTGGGCATTCTGAGAGGATTTTGTCTCCTGAGGTCTCACATACGGTGAACACCGTGACATCCTTGGGCAGGAAACCAGCTTTATCTCCCGCAGGGGCCTTGGATCCCAGCTCCTTTCCCAGTAGAATCTGACAAAGGAGGCCTGGAGACTGAGAAAGGTGAGGTTTTGCTTTTGTAGCAAAAGCAAAAAGATGGACAAGCCTCAAGGTTTAGGCTCGGAGCCAGACTTACCTTCCCTGTCTCTGCCTGATCTTAATTCACAGTGAGTCCTCCCTGGCCGTATTACTCAAATCTTGAAACCTACCTCCGACTCCGTCCTACTCATTCCTCTTGGTCTCGGATTTTTTCCCTCCAATAGCTTTACGGCCTTCCCAAATATCACATAATTTAATGTTTTTGCAATCATTGTACTGTTCAGCTCCCCACTAAAATGCAGTCCCTGTGAGGGCAACAACTGTTGTCTGCCTTGTTCATTGATACATCCTAAATGACTGAAACTGTTTCTGAAACATAGTGCATGTTCAACAAATGCTTCTTGACTGAATACATAAATCAGGCCTTTAGGGGGAAAAGGCCAGATTATCCCACCTCATTTATTCCCATTCTATGCGCTGTTCCCAGGTCTCCCCAGGAATTTCTGCCCAGGCAGGCAGTACCAAACCTGCACCATACTCCCAACCCAACCAGCCAGAAGCTGGCCCTTCCTGGAGTTGCTGGGAGGCCTCGAGACAAATCTAGCTCTTGGCTCAGAGGCTTGGCTGTGGAGTTCCCCCAGTCAGAGGCCCTCTCAGGGTCCCTGCAGTTGTGGGCTGAGATGAGCAAAGGGATGAGCGTGCTCGGGGTTCAGGCAAACCCGCCTCACCGGCTGCCTCAATCCCCTGACAAGTGCAGATGTTTCCTCATCGCAGAACTAGCAGGGCACGATTAACCTTAGCCTGGGGAGATCTCCACATCATCTGAGCCTCCTCAGGAGGTCATGGGTCCTCACTCGCCCCACCTCCGGACCCATGGAAATAGTTCCCACGGGGACCAGAGCCACCTAAGAACTCCAGCAGCCTGTCCGGGTCCCAAGGGGCCTCTTCCCATCCAAAAGGTGCTCTTCAAAATGACCCCATCGTTCCAGGGTGTTTTGCCGACTGTGGGTCTGAGAGCAGAAAGAAAATGAAGACTTGAAAAGCAGCGCCCCACTCCCCTGCTTCCCCTCACCTGCTGCCCAGACCAGGCCATCATCACCTGTGCCGGCCAGGACTGTGCAGGAACAAGGAGGGGTGCAGGGTGCAGGGCCAGGCTGAGCAGCAGGTGTCCCGGTCACATCGTACCTTTTAATCTGCCTGCCCACTAGGAAAGAGGAAGAGAGGTTGCCACAGGGGTCCCCGGCTTTGAGGCCCCCTGCAGACCCCGGCCACCTCCTGTCTTTGGAGCCTCTTGTATTCTTAGGTGGCATCTCCCTCTTCCAGCCTACTGGGAAAGCTGTGCTGCTGGTCACACATTCCTCAGTGACCAGGATGTCTTTTTTATTGACAAGATGCTTTGCTGGTCACTGCCCGATGGGAGGCCCCAGGTTCTCCAAGAAGGATGACCAAAAAGGACAGTTAGCCCCGGGCCAGGTGGGCTTCCTGGATGCCGGTCTTTCAGGATCTCTTTCAGGGGAGTCACGGGCATCAGGATGATGGGTCACCCCATTTCTAAGGATCCCAACTGGTGCCTCCCTGAAGCCTCAGCTTGGACACAAATCCCGAAAAACAAGGCATCTTGGCTTCTCCCCTCACTCCTGCCCGCCAGGTGTGGTCCCTGCCCATTCCATGCTCTCCTCACCCTCTCATTTACCCCTACTCCGTCCACCCTGCCACTTCCATCATCATGAGCACCTCACCTGGGAGGGACAGGACTGACAGGCAGGGGCAGCCCAGCCCAGGTGCCAAGGCAAAAGGAGCAGAATGAGAGTTCAGGTTGAATTATGCCTCCCACAAAAGATGTTGACCTCTTATCCCTGTGACCGTGACCTTACTGGGAAGTAGGGTCTTTGAAGGTGCAATGGAATTAAGAGATGGCCCCTGGGTAGACCCTAACCGGATGTGGCTGGTACCCTTATACAAAGAGGGAGATTTGGATACAGACATGCACAGAGGGAGATGACAGCATGCAGCAATGGAAGCAAGGATTAGAGTGAGGCATCTTTAAGCCACGGAACATGAAGGATGGCTGGGAAAGACCAGAAGAAGAGGCAGAAAACGTTCTTCCCTGTATGTTTCAGAAGCAGTGTGGCCCTCCCGACTTTGGCCCTCAGAATGGTGAGAACAATACATTTCTGTGTTTTAAGCCCACTCGGTCTGGGGTTCTTTATTACAGTAACGTTAGCAAACAAATACACAGAGAAAAATAGCAGATCAAACTGAAACGCTACCCAGCAAGTGGGAGTCAAAAGAAGACGTGGGAATAAGAGCAGTCATCCAGCTCTGGGGCAGGGCAGGGCTGGGCTGGGGAAACGGTACAGTGCTCCAGGGACCACTCCCCATGGAAGGACTTCAGCATGACCCACACCTGTCTGAGCCAGGGTGCTGCCTTGCTCCACAACCCTCCTTGTCCAACTTGAAAGTAGCCAGGTTGCAGGCCACCCTTTGCCCCACTCAGCCCAGGTCCAGGGTCTGAGGTCACCACCATGTCCTCCGCCTCTACCGCCAAAAAAGAAGAGGTGAGTAAGGTCACACTGTGGACTTGTCATCCTCTTCTTGCCACGCTGACCCTTGGCAGTATCCCAACCAGGACAAGAACTGGCACGGAACCTCAAAACCTTGGCTTTTCTTTATTCTCATGTTTCTGCAGGGTTCCTCTGGAATGTAGGTGTCTTACTTAGTATCTCCCCAAAACAGAACCTAGGATGAGAATGTGTTGGAGTTTTGTTTTGTTTTTGTTTTTTTGTTTTTTTGTTTTGTTTTGTTTTTCTGGAAGGCAAGCCCAAGTCGCAGCAATGAAAGAACGCATCCCGGGGTTGTCCTCTAGCATGACCAGGGGCGGGAGTGCCTGCCCAATGGCTCAGGAATGGAGCATCCCTATACTTCACAGCTGCATAGGATGTGGACCAACTCAGCATCTGCTGAGCTCCCAGGGGCAGACTCCATCCTCCGGGATAGATATGGGGATGTGTGCCCTTTCCAGCGGTCAGAGGGCATCACTGTAAAGGTAGACCGAAAGAACGGCATCCCGGTGCCCCGGATGTTGGTCAGGCACCCAGCTGCCTGCTCAGTGACACATCTTGTCTGCACATCTCCGAGGAATGGCTCATCACTCATGCCCAGGTGGGCAATGTGTCTTCCCCTTGCAGGACACGGTTAAGGACAGTGCATGGTGTAAGGGCCTATTTGTGTTCTGTTTGTCCATGGTAGAAGCCCCAGAACCCCCCACCCCCCAGTGGCCTTGCTTAGGCCCAGGGCCAGAGAATGCTTGAGGCAGAAGAGAGCCCACAGCAGGGGTGACCAGGAGGAGAGAAGCAGCCAAGCGTGCCCCTCACCGCTGCCTGCAGGTCTTTCTGAGCCCAGAGCTGGCACTGACTGTCCCCAGCCTGGGAATAGGCCAGGCTCCAAAAATGCTTTGAAAAATCTGCTGTTTGTTCCTGGAGAGCTCAGAACACATCTTCCCACTAGAACACATGGCTCCTCCAGCCCCAGCCCCAATCCTTGGAAACCCACCAGAGTGAGCTGCCTACACCAGTATGGTGAAAGGGGTCAGCTCATAACATGACCCTCAGGGAAAGCACAGTCAGGACTGTAACTCAGAACCAGGGTCACAGAGTCCCTGCTGTGGTTTGAACGTGACCCCTAAATTCATGTGTTGGATGGAGAACCAATCCCCAGTGCAACAGGCTGAGAGCAGGGATCTTGAGGAGCTGATTAAGCCATGGGGGCTCTGTGATCCTGAATGGGTCCACGTTGCCATCTCAAGGGTGGAACTGGGTCCCACATGAAAGGAGGAGTTCACCTGGACTAGGGATTTTCTCAGGGGAAGCGTGCTTGTCTAGCACTCATGAAGCCATTTGTTGTGAATTAATTACCCAGCCTGAGCATTTATGCGACCACAGCATGAAGCAGACTATGCCTGTGGCAGGGTCAAGAGGATCCTCCTCCTTCTCCCACCCCCACAGCCACCCAACTGTGGCACCAGCTCTGGTGTCCCAAGCTCCAGAGTCCGGACAGCAATCCCTGCTGCCCAAACAATAACTGTAGCAACTAGAGGGGCCAGGATGAAGTTGGTAGAGGTTGAAGGGCTTCTGTGGTTAGGAGGAAGTGGGAGAAGCCGACACCGCATGACGTCCTTGGCTGAAAGGAACAGTCAGTCTCTCCCCAAGGACCAGAGAGAGGTCCCCTCCCCCAGAATCCCTGCTGGCTCAGACCCCAGCGTCTGACAGCTCCTCCCCCAAGGTCCCAATCTTCCCACCTTGTGTCCCCAGTGCCTGCCGCAGCCTCCATTTTCTAGATGAGCAAACCAAGGTCCAGATTATCCAGCCAATTGGTGGCAGAAATTTAGACCCAGGACCCAGAACCACTAATCCCCAGCCAGCCCACCTCCTTGCCAAGAAAGTAGAAGAAAAGCTCATATTTACTGGATGACAGAGGTGCTTAGCCTCTGCCTCCGGATGGTAGCCTGGAGTGCGTCTTTGGGGAAATTACAGGTATCACTTTATCTTCCAGGGGAAAAAATAACCAGGGAAAACGTCTGCAATTACAGCTCATCACCGCTGACTGTGTAACTGCAGGCTAAGCAGCTGGTAATCAGGAGACCGGAGACAATAAGATTTGGTCTTTATTTAGCACCTTTCACTCCCCCACCCCAGATCTTCTCAGGTGATGTGACAGAGGGAACCAGGTTTCACAAACACTCACTGTAGACCTTTCTGACCTTTCTGTGTTTCCATACAGAGGCCAGACCACTGACCCATGGCCATCCATGGAGAACCCAGGGTGACTTCCCCCAGGGGCCTGGCTGAGTGTGCCTGAGCCCATCCCAGGCCGCCTCTCTTGTCCGTTTAATCTTTTGGTGTCTGTAGATGCCACCTCTATAGATACTTTGTAGAGAGGAGTAAGTACCAAGGCGCCCGACCAGGCCCGTCCGCATAGAGATGATAGTCCAGCCTTGGAAAAGATTGCAGACAGGGCAGGGTATAAATAAAAGAACCCCAGCATGTCACAAGAGCTGTGAGGTGATGGGACAGAGGTGGCACTGGGAGGACATCTGTGGTGGTCGATGAAGGCATCTCTGAAGTGCGTCATATCAGCTGAGATCAGCAAGGTGACAAAGAGCTGCTCGGGGATGGTCAAAGGTTCAGGAGCCATCAGTGCAAAGGCCCTGGGGCAAGAAAGATGCACAGGTGTTAGGCTCTGTGGGAAACCAGTGAGCATCTGCAACCCAGCGGGAGAGGAAGAAGATGGACCAGGTGAGCTTGAAAAGACAGCAGACATAGTGGTGCACACCTGTGGTTCCAGCTACTTCAGAGGTTGAGGTGCCTAGAGGTTCAAGACCAGCCTGGATAACATAGAGAGCCCCCAACTAAAACAAAACAAGACAGGGGCCAGGGATTTAGCTCAGTGGTTCTGCTGCCTGTCTCTCAAGCGCAAGGACCTGAATTCAATCTCTGGTACCAAAGAAACACCATGTCAGGCAAAGGAATTTGGATTTGAGTCCATTGATAGATCTTCACCAAAGGACTGAAATGATCTGATTTACTTTTGGAAAATATCCTGAGTGTTGGGTGGAGATTGGATAGGGAAAGGATTTAGCAGCGTAGTGAGAAACAAAATGGTGAGAAAGATACTCGTTCAAGTGACCTTTGCAGGTGGTGCTCACACTGCAGATTCCTGTGGGGAAAAAAAGCAAGCAAATGCCTCCCCAGCCAAGCATCAGAGTGCACAGGGAGGCCATCTACCAAAGCAGGCAGGGTGGGCCAGGCATACACAAGAGAGAAGTGCCAGTCTGCGGTCCACCTGCCCTCAAATCCACTGCTCAGCCTTCCCCTGCAGCTGGGGTTGGAGTGTATTTAAATGCACCCCCTAGAGGCTCATGGGTTGGAGGCTTGGTCCTGAGGGTGCTGCTAATAATGTGGGCCTTTAAACATTGGGGACAGAGCAGGTCTGTAGGTCACCAGCGGGCCATGCCTTCAGAAGGGGCTGCGGGACCTCAGCCTCTCTTCTTCACACACAGGCACTCATCAGGATAAGATGCAGCCAAGAGCGCCCTCCCCGGAGCTGAGCTAATGCCAATGCCATGCGCTTAAACCTCCAAAACCGAACTAAATGAACCTCTTTTTTCATAAAGTCAGCCTGCCTCTAGTATTTCATTATAGTAGTGAAGATCAGACTGATATGCCTGTTCCCTATAATGCAAGGGAGCCAACCCTGCAACAGCTCTGTTCTTATATCAGCTGTGCTCGACCATGAGCGACATGGAAGAGGTTGGAAAGAGGAGAAAGAGAGGAGTTGGGGCCTGTCCTCGCAGAAACAGCTGCTTCTCCTCTGTGGCTCCATCTCCCAGCAGGAAGGCCTCAAACTGCTCCTGCTTCTCTGGGCCTCCCTTTGTCTTCCATCCCACCGAGAGCCATAGCTTCCTGCTTTTTACAAACCCCCGGGTTACTCCTTCATCCCTTGTTCAGCTTCCGTGATCTTCCATCATCGGTGCAACCCAGTTCCTAGAAAACTCCCCTCTTTGTCCAGCATTTAGAGTGGTTTATGGATTCCTGAATGAGCCTTGAGTGGTCTGGCTGAGGTGGGAGCTGCAGAATCAATCCATGGGAAGCTTAAAATGTTATTCTCCACCAGGCATGGTGGCATAGGACTGTAAACCCAGCACTTTGAGGCTGGAAGGCAGGAAGATTGCAAGTTTCAGTCCAGCCTGAGCAACCATCTCAAAAAAAAAAAAAATTTTTTTTTTTTTGGTACCATGGCTCAAACTCAGGTCCCTGAGCTTGCAAAGCAGGCACCAGAAACAAACAAACAAACAAACAACTCTTTTTATGTTGCCCTTATCCCCTGTGATTTTCGGTACAAGCCTCCAGGGTCAACCATAACTACCTTCAGAACCTAAAACCACAGGACCTAGAGGCAGAAAGAGACCTTTAGGATGTCCTCACCCTAACACCTGCCTAATGCTGCAAACCTGTTTGTTACGTCCTACCCAGGGGTCACAAGACAATCCTGATCACTTTCAAGGACGGTGTATTAGGCAGCTATCGCAGCAATGCTTTGTAATCAGCTACTATGAACAAAACTCAGGGGCTTAGCTTAGCACTGTTTTTAACTGCAAGTCTGCTCAAGGTGACTCTGGATGAAGGGTGGTGGAGTTGGACTCCAGCTGGGTTCCAGCCTACTCTGGGTCCCCCCATTGAGCCAGAATCTACCTAAGCTTTCTTCTCACAGGAGATTCTAGGAGCTCAGCAGGGCAAGTGAAATTACCTAAGCATGCTAGTAGCCTTATGTCACATCTGCCAAAATTCCACTGCGAGTCCCACGGCGAGTCCCACGGCCAAGAGCAATATCAATGGGGTGGGAAAATATATACACAAGGGCAAAGTCAACAGGCCTCCTAAAGCCTAAGCAAAGCTGAGAGCAGATCTACAGCCCCCTCCAGCTGGGCCTGGGAATCCTCGTGTCAGGGAGGGATGACAGCTACAGCTGGGGACAGAACAATATAATGAATATTTAAGTTTTTCAACATTTATTACAGTAAAAGCCATGTTACCACTAATCCCCCTCACTTCAAGCATGCCCATCCCATCGTTTCTGCTGCTTACTAAAGCTGTTCTGGAGTGCTCTTTCCTGAAGGTCTTTCTTTAGTGACACTGCCATGGCTGCCTCCGTGTCCTAAACTGATTAGAAATATTTACCTTTCATGGTCATTTTGACCTTGGAGAAGAATAAGGAGTCACACAGAGCCAGATTCAATGAATAAAAAGAATGGGGACACACTGTGATGTTTTTATACACCTGTCTTTCTGTTGGATAGCACTTGACAGCTGTATTTTTTATCACACCTCATAAAGACACTCACGAAGGGCGACCACCAGAACTGCTTCAGAAAGCAGCAGCAATGATGGGACGTGTGTGGAGCAAAAAAGCGTATTTTGAGGGAGATCAGTGGCAATGTGTCTTTACTGCAATAAAGTTAAACACACCCTGTAGTTTTCAATTACCCCTGTATTAATCAGGATGGAACAGACAGAGTGAGTGTAGCAACAAATTCTTACTGTCAGAGTCACTGAGCACAAACCAGAGTTTCTACTCACCCAGCATGGGAAAAACAAACTGGCAAGGGCTCTGCTCATTGTGGCCCCTCAGAAACCCAAGCTGACAAGGCCTCGTCTCAACAGGGAGGGTGGTGAAGGACATGTAAACAAAACACGTACAACTTAAAGTTGTGACCCAGATGTAAAACATGTCTACTTAGATTTACTGGTTAGAGTGATTCATGGGCTGGGGTATAGCCCAGTGGTAGAGCACTTGCCTGAAATATTCAAGACTCTGAATTCCGTCTCCAACTCCACATCCCTCACAATGACCTGCTGCCTCAGCCTGGGCCCCACCTCCTAACAACGCACTCCAGGCACCTGTGCTAGGCCCCGCCTTTGAATATTGCTGCTTTGCGAATCAAACCCTTAATATCTGAGTCTTTAGGGGACACTCTTCAATTTAAACTATAACACTCTCTCTTTCCTACTCCCTCTCTCCTTGCTGTCTGGTTCCATTCGTTTAGCAAATATGGATTGAGACTCAAACATAGGCCAGGATTGGGGGCTGTCCTGTGGACACGGCAGACCCAGCCTGACTGGGAGCAGTTGATCAGGGTGACAGCAATCAAGCAAGCCCCCAGATCCACCCAGTTTCTCCAGCCAAACCAACCTGTCTTCCCGAGTCTCTGTCTTCTTCATTCACTGCCTCTCATCCTTGAGCAAATCCCATCAGCATGACTCCAAAATCATCCGAACTCTGGCTCCTTCAATCACTGATGACCCTTACCGTGACTGGTCATCTGGACTCCTACAGAGCCCTCTAGCTTGTCTCCCCGTACCATCCTTCTGCCTGGAGTCTATTCATCAAATGATCTGAAAGAGTCAATGGCAATGGGGAAGGGAATTTTTTAAATACTTAAATTAACGTAAAATAAACACAAGTCATGTTAAGTGTTGTGCGGGAAACAAATGAGGTGCAGACAGAGTGAAGATTCACAGGGACCACCTGGAGACAGGTGGCTAGGGAAGGTGACTACCTGGCACCTGCCATGGCCCCTTGCTCCATCATTTGCCATGGCAACCAGTTCCACACATACCAGCCTCCACAGCCGCATTCCAGCCTCCACAGTGACTCCCCGTGCTCTTCTGTCTCTTTGGAACAGAACCCCTGAGGGTCTCGCTCTCATACAGTTCTGGAGAGTAAGTGACTCGGTGTCCTCGGAGGCAACCTTGACCAGTGGACCAGTGAGGACAGTGGACAAATGCTCTCCCCTGTCTTTCCCTGGGTGCACAGGTCTGAGATGCACATCCTACCATCGCATAAGAGCCGGCCCCTGTGACTACAGACAACCTCTAGCTCTACTTCACCTGCTTCCCTGCTGGTTGCCTCTCTTGCTCCTACCTCAAGAATCATATTCCTGAATAAATAAGTACTCCTCTGGGGATCCGCCATCAGACAAACCCAGGCAGAAGCAGGGGCCTCCGCAGCATGTGACAACTGAGCCCAGCTTGGAGCTGAGGGGAGGGGAAGGGCACCCTGGGCAGCAGGTGCAATGCTCTGTGTCCGAGAAGCCCGGAACAGTAAGGCTGGAGTCTTGTGGGCAAGATGCAGAGCACAAGGGTTGAGAGTGGCAGGGGCCAACCTCACAGGACCTTCTGGGCAGGGCCAGAGACTTGGGACTTCCTCCTAGGTTACTGGGAAGCTATGAAAGATCTGAACCAAGAGAATTCCCATGACCAGATCTGTCTTTGAGGAAGGTGGCTGCCTGTGCTCTCTCCACGGCATTTTTCTGTGTGAGTTTCACGTTGTTCCTTTCTTGTCTTCCTTTCTTTTTTCTTAACCCAGGTTCCCTTCACCTTTTATGACTGCCCTGTACCTCCTCATCCCTCTCCCCCTCCTGGTATCCTCTTCCTCACCTTTCCCTGAGCCTCTGCAGCCTTTGTGTTCCCTTAACAAGACAGTGAGAGGGACTCCGGAATGCAAGGCAGGGCGGTAAGGGGGACCGTACTTCTGAGCCCATTCAGGACAAAGGTCTGAGAAATTCCACAACTCGCAGGTGCAAAGGGGCAATGTTTGAGTTCTGAGATGTATGTCAGGGGTCAAATGAAGAACTTACTGTCCCCAGATGTGGGAAAAGAAGTGCAGGGATGAGCGGTATGAGAGAGAATGACATCTGACTTCTCACTGAGACCCATCACCATAGCTGCATGACCATGGGCAGATCACGGCATTTCTCTAAAACTCAGATCCAACATTTGGAAAAATGTAATAATAATAAAGAATTCATTAGGACTCTTGGTCACACACACACACACACACACACACACACACACACACACACCCCAACTAATTTAAAGGAAGAGAGGAATTTATCCTTACAGAATATAGACAAGCAAACCCACACAGATGTCCAAGAAGAGCAGGGAAGGGCTTATCTCTCTTCTGCTTAGTTGCTCCAAACCAGCATCTTCTACCTCCCAGCCATGTGGGGCAAGCTAGAGCACTTTGACTTCCTGGGACATGCGGTGTAGCTCAGTGGTAGAACACTTGTCTAGCTTGTGTGAGACCCTAGGTTCTTTCCCTAGTCCTGAAGAAGAAAAAAAAATAGAAAAATAGTCTGGCTTCCTGGAAAAAGACTGATATCAAAATTCCTCCCCTCCACACACGTATACCAGAGCAAGTCATGTGACACATCTAGGCCAATCAGCTGTGAGAAGGATGCCTGAGTGACTCCAGATTAGCATGGACCAAGCAACTCTCATTCTGGGGAAGGTTGTGGGTTGTAGTGTACTAACTTGACTGTAAGAGTCCCAACCCGGAACCAGTCGTGTGTGTGTGTGTGTGTGTGTGTGTGTGTGTGTGTGTGTGTGTTTTACAGGAGAGAACTGGAGAGATATCATACAAAGAGTCCCAACCCGGAACCAGTCGTGTGTGTGTGTGTGTGTGTGTGTGTGTGTGTGTGTGTGTGTGTTTTACAGGTGAGAACTGAAGAGATATCATACCAAAAAAAAAAGGAAGGTGTGACGGAGCAGTTAACACCTCAGAAACCCAGTTCCTAAAATGGGATCAGCCTGTAAAGTGCTCACAGATCAACACACCATAATGAGGCCCATTTTTGCCACCTAAAACCTGTGCCACCATTTACTCCTCCAGCAAAACTTCCTTAGAGCTGTCCTTGTTCCTATCACCCCCTCAAAACCTCTGTTGTTCTCTGCTCCCTGCTCCACCTGGACCAAAGCCACGCTTTTGAGTTTGTGCCTGGCCACGTTGCCAAAGGCTCAGGGAGCTTCCTGTCCTTAGCTTTCGTTATTTCTCAGCAGCATTCAACATATTTTTCCCCTTTGTCCTTGAATTTCTTCTCTTGGTCTTTGTGTTTCCAGCTTCTCCTGGTTTTCCTCCAACTTTATGCGCTGTGATTGTCTACCTCTCTCACTCCTTCTCTTAGACCCATTGAGGGTGGGATGCCTGGCAGCTCAGTCCTTGCCCTGTCCTCTTCCTCTGGCTCCCACTGGCATTCCAAGGGTCTCAGCCACTCCTGCGTCTTCACAATGTCATCTCTTGTCGATGGTCCTTGCCTTTCTACTCCAACTCTCACCTCTCACCAGATCTCCAGATCCTGGATCCAGCTGCCAGCCTAACTTCTGGCACCTGTCCACAGACAGCTTGAACTCAACTCTGCCCTGACTTTTCCAGCACGTGGTGAAGGGCTCCACTGCTGTGACCGGACACTTTAATACTGACTTTCTTGTACCATTAAAATAGCTTCTCATGGCAAAGCTTCTGTTCCAGGCAAAATATAGAGGGGATAGCTGAGAGTCCTTTCTCTGATCATCTGCCTCCAATCCATCAGTGAGTCCTGCCAACTCTGCTCATCAGTCACAGGCTCAACTCATCCTCTTCTCTCCATCCATCTCCATGCTGCTGAGCTGCCTGCACTTTCTCCTTCACTCCTAACTGCTTTCCTTGCATTCTCTACTGCTCCACACAATCCATTCTCCATTCAGCAGCCAGAAGGATGATTTCAAATTTATAAATCAGATTGCGTAGGGCTGGTGATTTAGCTCAGTGGTTCCACCACCTGCCTTGCAAGTGCAAAGTCCTGAGTTTGACCCCTAGTACCCCCCCAAAAAAACTGAATAAATCAGATCATGTTGTTTCCCTGATTAAATGGCTTTCTTTAACACTCAGAATAACATATCAACTCCTTACCCTGACCGACAAGGTTCCCCTAATCTGGCTCCCGCCTCCATCGCTAAGGTCACTATACACCTTTCTCCCTCTCTCACTGTGCACCAGGCACCCTGATCTCTTGTTCCTCTAATAAAAACCAAGACTCCTCCAGTCTTTGCACCAACTGCTTGCTCTGCCTGGTCTGCTCTCCTTCACCACAGCCTCTGCGTTAGTTTTGCATCTCTACGAGAAAGCAACTTACAGGTGGAGAGACTTATTTGGGTCATGGTTTCAAAGGTTTCCATCCATAGCTGGCAGCTGCGTTGCTTTGGGGACTGTGGCAAGGCAGAAAGAGCACAGAGGAAAGGAGAGGTAGAGCAGAGCTGTTCATCTCATGGCCACTAAGAAGAAGAGGAAGCAGAGAGGGGGAGGGGAGGGGGATGAGGAGGGAAAGGGGAAGGAGAGGAGCGAGAGAGAGGGCGGATGTAGTCCCAAGGGCACAAAGCCATGACCTACTCTATTCAACTAAGTCTCACTTTCTAAATTCCTGTCACCTCGCATTAATCCCACCAGATTTTGACTCTGTCAATGGATTAATCCACTGATGCAGTTAAAATCTCGTGATCTAGCTCCCTAGCTCTGAACACTGCTGCCCTGAGGACCAAGCCTTTAAGAGACATTTTCTATCCAAGCCATGGCACACTCCAACCCTCTTCTGACTGCCCAGCTCCTTTTCTTTTCTTTTCCAGCTCTTGACTTAAAAGCTATTTCCGCCGAGAGGCTGTGTTGGGCCACTCTACTTAAAGAAGCGTCTCCATTGTTTGATACCCATCAATGCCTGATTTCTTCGCATAGAACTTATCACCATTTATACTTCTTCAAGTTTAATTTTTTTTTATATTCTCACCAAAATATAATTCTCATGAGAGGAAAGACCTCATCTCTGATATATTTTTTTTATTCCCCATGTCTAAAACAGTGCCTGTCAAGTAATTTTAATAAATATTAGAAACTAAGAAATATTAAAGGGAAGAAAGGCTAATAACCCAATCATTGTAAAAAGAAAGAAAGGTCATGGAGGAATACTCAAGTGCGACCAGCATAGAGAAGGCTGAGAGCTGTGGGAGTGTCTGGTGAGAGAGCAGAGAGGGGGAAGCTGTGGCCAGAGCCCCTGGCAGGGGCTGAGTTGAGGCAGCTCCAGAGTTTCCAGAAAGAACCCCGGAAAGATCAACACTTGCGTTCATCAGATACAGGCTGCAGTGGGAGGGAAAATAGTGACATGGCACAGAAGGACCAGAGGTTAATTGAAAGTCTATGGAACAAATTTGTCATTCATCACCTCCCAGCTCCAGTTCTGCCTAACAGAGCAACAGGCCGCTCAGTAAAAACCAGAGGACTCCTAGCTAAATCGATGAAACCGCTTGTAGACACCGGGGCTGCCAGCACGCTGTTGGTGCGCTGGAGGAAAGCACACCTCACTCTGCTGTGTGTGCCTCCACATCCACCTGCACAGCCACCTCCCTGGCCAGTCCTCATAAAGGAGAGCCAGGCGGTAAGCAAGCTCTGCCTGTGAACCACAGCATCGAGGTAGCACTTTTCCCATGCAGAAAAAATACAGGAAACCCAGACCAGCCTCCTAGAAAAATTGCCCACTTGAGTGTATCCTCTGAATTCGTGTGCTACAAGTTTGGTCCTCAGTGGGGTGGTACTGAGAGGCACTGGAATCTTTAATAGATGGGGCCCAGTGGAAAGTGGTTAGGTTATTGAGGGTACTACCCCCAGAAGGTATGAATGTTGTTCTTGTAGGACCCATTTAGCACCAGTAGAGTTGTATAAAAACAATAAGACTGAGGGGCTGGGGATTTAGCTAAGTAGTGCCACCACCTTCCTCTCAAGCTAAAGGTTCCAAGTTTGATCCCTGG